CGTTACTTTCTTCTCTTAGTCCGTAATCCTATTAGTAAGTCCATAAATAGGAGTATTTGGATTCACGATTTTTGAGTTACTGGATTCTGTTTGTTATGCAAATTAAAATAGTGATGCACAATCATCCTATCTTGCCATAAACTTTATTTGTAATTATTCATTGATGATTGCCAAGTTTACCATTGAGATCGATTTACTGATCTCAGTTCGAGGAGCGATGGATTCTATATTAGCATTAATAAGAATTTTGGGATTTTTCTGCATCGGAATATTCGAAGTACTTATAATGACTCTGATAATATTGATCACATCCATCATTTAGAAGGAATAACAACACTTAGGGGTATATAAATTGGTATGACCTAGCGAGAAATCATTAAATACTGATTATGCGGTTGATATATGCATGCTTTTGAGAAAACATTGTATTAAAAGTGAAACTGTATCTACTAAAACTGCTAGTTGCCGATATTTCTTGATGGGAATCTTTTTCGTCAGCCAATTTGTCCATAGTTTGGACATGGTAAGAAAAAGAAATGTGTTACGGTTAAGTAGTGAGTAGACGGATTTTATCTTCTGAAGTGGCACAGACACGATTTAGAAATTGTGATCACTTCTGAAATATGCATGACTGGCTGTTTTGGATAGTTTACCACCAAATGCCAACAGCTGCTGTATTTTGAAGATGAAGGAGGCAGAAATGTTTATTTGGGAAACCCATCGGCATCAAACTTTCTCTACTGGAAGTTCCCTGATGTCCTATTAGAGAGGTCTTCACGGCTGTTACCTACTCTCTCCTAGGCTACGATAGTTGCAATGAATATGTAGTCTGTAAAAGGCCAAAGGTCATTGTAGTATCGATTTCGAGATTTCCAAACTAACCAGTAAAATGAAATTATGTTTTTATGAGTGAAATGAAACGTAACGCGGTGGTGATATAGTTAATGAATGCAACAGAATGTGCATGTAACGCTTGTTTGATGATCCGGCAGTGACTCGACTCACTCAGTCATTCAATCATTTGATGAGCCGCCCGTTACAGTATCCGTACACTCCGTCTTCTGTGACATCACCGTCTTGACGGTATTTTTAACGCATAATAAATTTTTGAATTGTTCGTCCGTGTCAGTTCAGTTTAAACTTCTGATGTCCGAATGGGACTTTCATCATTTTATGACGCGAAAATAAAAATGTGTTAGTGGCATCGTGTAAGGAAGAAGAAAAAGGAAATGGACGAAAAAGAAAGGACAATTAATTTAACCGTTTTCTACACCACCAAGTTAGATTTAGGAATTAGTTTTAGATTTGATTCAAATATTTTCGGTCATTGCTGTTATTGGCATTGGTAGAGAGGGTGGAGATGACCTTCGAACTAAGATTAAGCGATGAATTTTTGTCACAAATAGTTTTGCAAGATTTATTCATGAAATGTAAAAGCAAGCAATCAGTAACAATTGTAAATATAGGTGTGACTGTCAGGCTGTGTCATTCAAATAATATATTTTCCCAACAAATTCAAATTTAAGAGTTCATTTTCGCGCGCCTCATTTTAGAAGTATTGTAATGGCCTTTCTTCTCTGGTATAATTACTTTTCGAAACTTGTTGGCTTTTTCAGGAAATACTGCAATGTAAGAGAGTGTTCGTTTTGATAGTTCTCTTACATTATAGTTCAACTCAGCATACTTTTTCCACCTGTTGTTTTTCGTTAGGTATTTCTGCTACCGCATGCGACTTCTTTTTTCCTTCTGGTCTGAATCTTCAAATATGAATTTAAACTATCTAGTATTTTATCAGATACTGCAGTGACGGTAATGTGATTTAATGAGTGACTTTTGAGGTCATTTTAAGGGAGTGAAGTGAGCTCAAATTAAAGATAAAAATTTTATAGTATTCCTTTGACTTGTTCTTTTGACGCTTCCTTTATCGGTATGCATATTATATTTATTGTTAAGATTCAAGGACCGGTACAGGTTATTCCTTTTAAAAGGTTTGGTAAGATTACCTTAATGCTGATTACGAAGGTCAGTTGATGGACTCATAAAGCTGGACTAATGTCAATCAATGATACCTAATTTTCTTCATTTTTGTGCTACTGCTACTACTGCTACTTTTGCTAGAATCCGTTGTCTTCCCAATAGACGATGACCATATGTCCTGTATTGGTTGTGAATCGAATCGCTGTTTTTTACCATTGATGTTTATTGCTGATGGCACTTCTGTGTAATTTTTTAATGTGCCATCATCAAGACCACATGTTAGCCGCTAACAAATAAAAGTCGTCAAATGCACAGCAAACTATGTATTTCCTACTTTTCTTTAAATAAGTCTCATGTTCAATTAAAGGTTTCGCTTAGAGCTCGTAAATGTCGTGAAACATGGAACTTTGACCCCTCTATCTTGTTTCATATCCGATAGATCCACAGTTAGGAGTTAAGGAGATAGATGTGATAATAGAAGTGTGCAAATGTTCATGGAAGGGTCGAATTACTGAATGCGGTGAAGGGTTTTTCTCTTAACATGAGGAGACCAAGTGATCGAGGAGAATTTTCAATAGTTTGTCATAGTTGTGATAGCGTGGAGCAGAGGGAGAGGAAGAGGAGGGTTCACGTAATAAATTAATCATGGATCGTCTCTTTAGCACTTGCGATAAGGAGACGCGGGGAGTGTAGAGGTCCTGATTTTTGCTAGTTGATGATCGTTTGATGAGATAACTGTCAAGTGTTTACATCTTAAGACGAGGAACGCGTGCCTTATGTCAGACAACTCTTTGCATGTTTCTAATCTGGATAGATTATCAACAGTTCACTTTTTTTCAGCATCATTTCCCTCACTGCCAATCGTCATGAATTATGTTGTCTTGTGAGATGCTGAAATTTTGAAATTTGCTCAGGTTCATTACGGCTATTGTTCAATAGTGTCTCTTTCATTTCTCATTATTTTCAATTTCTAAGATTTTGCTGAGAATAAGTGAGATGTTTGAATACAATAAATGAAGTATAAAACACATCAACTGGACTTCCCACTTACTACACAGATACATCATGATATCTATCGTAAGGAAAGATCGGCCATTGGCATACCCAAATCATATTTCAATAACTAAAACAATGTCGAATGCATTGTTTACACACGCACTCAATCTTTGCCTATTACTTCAAGTTATTTTGATTTTCTTTCGTCTCACTTCTGTTCATCCCACTTACCGCTAGCTCCATAAAACGCCTGTTCTAGATTTCTTCTCGGGACAATCCAATTCTCTGCTTAGGACAAAGTTGGATGTACTATAGAATAGAACGTTTGATAGTGTTCTTAGTGTACCGATAGCATTATCAGAATAAGGAGAGACTGGCCTATAGAAAGTGTTGCCTCATATAAGGGTTTTTCTAAAATAGTGAACCGATATGCTGTGACCTTATTGTTTTGGTGAACTCTTGCTTATCCTAAATCGATCGCATATCTCGAGAAGAGCTGAGAGTTTTCTTCTTGGACCAATGCAAGTAGTGCTGTTTATTTAGTGCCAGTATTTGCATACATATTTGCATATGTTAATGTACGTATTGCTATTACGTAGTGTATGCTTGCTATGTTGCTTGTAAGTGCGTGGGAAAGGCGGCATTGTAATAACACTGAAGATTGCACCTGATGGACATCATCAATTTGGAATGTGAACTGTGTGGGGTTAATGGATTGACAAGCAAGTTTATCTATATGGCAAAGAGCCAAAAAACTCGGAGTTTCACAGTGTTAACTTCATTAGTTTTAGTTGTTGAGGAATATAAATATGATAAAATGGAAGTTTAGGAAGGTGATATTTGAAGGAGTCAAAAGTGTCGGATTTAAGGATTTGACAAGAGAAGGGTTGAGATTTTTGGATCATCAACTCTACCCACCTATTAATTATTATTGCTCTCTCGCAAATCTTATCATGTGATGAATTCCCTCTTTCCATCTAGATTTATTACGAGAATGAAGTAGTGCTCATTAATTACCGGAGATGTGCATTTCAATGGTCCCTCTTGACATTTATTTTCAGCACTGAGCACTGATGTACTGCCTGCTGTATCATAGCCTATA